GTGACACACTCATTTCCAAATAATTACCAAAAACTCAGAAGTGGAGATTCGCTAAAAGGGTAGAGTGCTAGACTTGAGCAAAAATGAAGATCAGAGACAGCATGCAGACCCTGAGTTCACACCCTAGTACTGGCACAAATACATGTGCGTATATACACACACACACAGAGACATACACACACATACACACAAACACACACATACTCATTTGCCTACTGATATGCAGAAACATTTATATTTGATGCAGTCCCATGTATCATTTCTTGCCCATATTTCCTGGGCAACAGGAGTCCTGTTTATGAATAACTACCTGTGCCTTTATCTTCAAGGACTTTTTCCTATAGTAGTTGCAAAGTTTCACATCTTACATTAATAACTTTGATCCATTTTGGATTGATTTTTGTCATGGTGAGATTTGGGAAGTAGAATTATTCTTCTATATGTAGTCATCCATGATCTCATCACCAAGTTTTTATGACACTCTCTTTTCTCGAGTATGTATTAAAGCTGGTATAGCTTTGTGCGTTTATTTGTAGGAGGGTCTTCTTTTCTGTTCCACTGGTCTCCAGATAGCTCAAGCTTGTCTGCAAAAGGAATTCTGGTGAAATGAATCCCAGTGAAATGACTCTCCAGGTGTCCCTCTTTGAGCTTGTTACCTGGAGGAGATCTTTTCTCAAGGGTTAGTTTTCCCCATGAGTTCACTCTTTCATGATCTTGCAGCCTTTCCATGGGTTTTTAGACAATTCCTCAGATGCTCTCAGTGTGTATTTCCCATTTCCCTGACACAAAACTTCATGTTAATGGTAATAATCCCTCAAATTGTTCCAAATTGTCATCTTCCTTATCTCTATCAATCAAAGTACTTGGCCTTGCAGTTATGAGCCACTACACCCAACAGAGATACATTATTAAAGTCCCAAAATATAAGGCGTAATTCTATATAACATTGAAGGTGATTTCCATACTTTCCTCTTCCAGTCAGTATGGACCTTTAATGATCTACCTCTAGAACGTTTCCAGAAAACTATTTCCACCTTCAGTTTGACCACAAGCATCAGAAGCTAAGCCTTTGCTCTTCCCAAGGTGCTCTTTAAAGACTATTAAATATTATGACTTCCAGTGGGAGTAAAACATGGAAGGAGGGTAACAATGTTCGACAAGAAATGTACTTATAACCTTACATATGTAACTGTGACCCCTCTATACATCACTTTGGCAATAAAATTAAATTCAAAAATAAATAAATAAATAAATGTTATGACTTCCTAATTCTTACATCATTCTAGCCTTTGGTAAGTCAGTCAAATAAGTGAATATTAGTGATATAAGCAAGACCTTATACTTATAATTGTATGAGTACATATAACTGTAATTATATAAGTATAATTGTATGTGGAAGGAATTTGAAAAGGAGAAACTTTGAAATTTTTTGTGCTATCCAGAACCTGATTTTCAGGGTCCTCAGCAAAGAGCAAGACACACAATAAACCTAAAATTTACACCTTGATCATCGTGTCCTCCTTATATGTCTAAGAAGATATACTGGCTTAGAGTAGACTCTGGATGAAGGACATTTGCTGACTTTCCTCATGACTGGTGAGAACAGCAGGGAAGTTAGCCAGCTGCACAGCTCTCAGCCCCTGATGACTCAGTCTCACCACCTGGTCTTGATCTTTTGTCTGGGTTCAATTCCAGTAAGTGGTGAGCATTTTACTTCACTGAATCTAAAGCTACCAAGGACAGGACCTTTGTTACCCCAAATTCTCAGCTCTATCACTCTGGAGGGGGACTGCTTCTTTTATAGCCCAGAGCAAGAATGCCATCACTGGATAGACAGTCCTGATCCAAATCTCTCCAGTTTCTTCCAGTGTCTGAAAGTTGAGGTCAGCATTCACATCTCCACACTCAGGGAAACCACATGAATAATTACAAAAATGACTTTGGGGCCTGACTTGTTCCTCCCCCACCACAGTAAAGGGGTCCATGGTTTCTGCCTTCTTCATCCTACTTGGATGCATTGTGAGGTATTACTAAGATTCTGAGTTCCTAGACTCTGGGATGTACATGATGAAGGCAAAGATGTCTCCTCTTGCTATTAAACTGGGCTGAACTCTCCAATGAAAAGGCATGATATGATATCTGATTGATCAAATTTCTATCCATTTTTATCCAAGATGTTTCTTCAGGGACATTTTTACTGGTTTGTGAAGAGATCAAGAGTTTCTCCTAAAGATGCAAACAGCCATACTGGTTTCTTGGCAGCCATGATGTTTCTACTCATTGGGAAAAGATAAAAAGACATGGATATGGGGCTGGGAAGGTGGCTCAGTGGTAGAGTGCTTGACTTGCATGGGTTCAATTCCTCAGCATCACATAAGCAAAAAGGAAAAAGCCAGAAGTGACGGTGTGGCTCAAGTGGTAGAGCGCTAGCTTTGAGCTGAAGAGCTGAGGGACAGCACCCAGGCCCAGAGTTCAGGCACCACGAGCAGACCTCACCCAAAAAAGACAGTATTCATGTCCAACTGTGAGTAGTACTATCAAATGGCACAAAGGTGATAACATATGAGAGATTTCAGATCAGGAGAAAGTGCAGTCTATTTAGATACTAGGGATAGAAGACACATAAAATATCCGTGGTAACAAATTTGTGAGTCATTATTGAGGAACCAGAGTGAAATTTGGCCAATATCAAGAAATCTAAAAACAACAAATGCTGAGGGGATGTGGCCAAAAGAGAGCACTACCACACTGTTGATGGGAGTGTAAACTTGTTCAACCACTCTGGAAAACAGTATGGAGGTTCCTCCAAAGACTCCACGTAGAGCTCCCCAATAAGCCAGCAATCTCACTTTTAGGCATTTGCCCAAACAAGCACAAACAAGGCCATACTAAAGCAACCAGCACAACTATGTTTATCGCAGCACTATTTACCATAGCTAAGATACGGAACCAACCCAGATGTCCCTCAGTAGATGAATGGGTCAAGACAATGTTATATATATACACAATAGAGTTCTGTGCTTCCATCAGAAAGGAAATGAAAAGACTTGGGAAAAATCATATTAAGTGAAGTAAAACAGGCCCAAAGAAACCTAGCTCCATGATTTCTCCCATTTGTGATAATTAGTATATGTCTCAGATAGTCCTAGAAGAGAATCTCAAGAGCTCAATAATTATGTACATATGATGCTAAGTGAGGCTGGGCAGGTGGCTCAGTGGTAGAGTGCTTCCCGTGCATGCATGAAGTTCGATTCCTCAGCACCACATAAGCAGAAAAAGCCAGAAGTGACGCTGTGGCTCAAGTGGTAGAGTGGTAGCCTTGAGCTGAAGAGCTGAGGTAGAGTGCCCAGGCCCAGAGTTCAGGCTCCATGGCCGGCAAAACAACAGCAACAAAAAAGATGATGCTAAGTGAAATGTGCTCCACGATATGGAAACAAGAGGTTTTTCTTTGTTGTTGTTTTGGTTCTTAATGTACTATGTGAAGTTATTTCTTTTTCTGGCATTTTTCTCTTTTTCCCCCTATGGTTTGATTTTGGTACCATGTATTGTATATGCATTTATCTGAATTAGCCAAGGGACAAGGAGCAACAAAATGATGAGACAAAGGACAAAAGGTGAATCAATGCAGCAGCAATATTCACAAGACAACAGGGGATGTGGGGAGGCATGAAAGTGGGAGAAAAGCTAGAGAGGGAGTGACAATGTTTGACAAGAAGTGCACTCACTACCTTACATCTGTAATGTAACCCCTCTGTACATCACCTTGACAAAAAAATTAAATTTAAAAATGACTTGCTTCAACTTACATACTAATGGTCATAACTAAAACTACCACAAAATACTTTTCAATAGGTTCAGTATGTTTCATATTATCTTGTTCTTTAAAGAAATTAAACAGCTTTACACCTGTACCTCATGCTTGTAATTCTAGCTACTCAGTAGGCTGAGATCCAAGGAGTACAATTTGAAGCCAGCCTAGACAGTTAAGTCCATGAGATCCTTATTTCCCATTAATCAGGGAAAATCTAGAAATGGACCTGTGGCTCAAGTGGTATAGCAGAGTGGTAGCCTTGAGCACAAAATATGAGGAACAGTATTCTTAAGTCTTATTCTTAAGTTCATGTCCCTACATACATACACACAGAAGTGAAACATTTTAATGTTAGTGAGGTGCCCATGGCTAATACCTGCCATCCTACCTACTCATGAGTGCCAGGTCTGAGAATGGCTCTTCAACGACAGCCTGCACAAGAAATTTCATGCAACTTTTTTTCTAATTAACCATCAAAAAACCAGAAACAGAAGTGTGGGTCGTGTGGTAGATCATTATCTTGAGAGAAATAGCTAAGAAACGGCACCCAGACCTGAGTTCAAGCCCCACGTACAAAAAACAAAGGAAAATCAAAGAAAGAAAGAGAAACAACTGAAAGAGGAAAAAAAGAATGAAAGAAAGAAAGAAAGAAAGAGAGTGAGATAGAAAAAATGCAGGAGGGGGAGAGGAAAAAGGAAGAAAGAAAGAGAAAGAAAGAAAGAAAGAGAGGAAAGAAGGAAGGAAGAGAAAGGAAGAAAGAGAGAGGAGAAAGAAAGAAAGAAAGAAAGAAAATAATTTTTGAGGTATAAGCACTTGGTAAAAAGAACACAAGATAATTTTTTCCAGCAAGAATTATTGAGTGAATTAAAGATCTAAAAAGACACAAGACTATGGTCCAATATATTTTTCAAATAGGTTGTTTTATACTAGTTGCTTCTGAGTATCATACATCTAAAAAATAATCTAAAAAATGTCTTCTACAGTCAAAAGATCACCAGCGAGAAACATATGCTCTGCAGACAAATTTATATTTTTTTGAATGGTCTGGGACATCTGTGGAGGCAAGGCCTGTGATGAGAGAGGAGCCAATCCTGCAGCTGAGCCTGCCCTTCCCACAATGCTGATTTGCATGTGCCCATAGCTCATCATACTGTCCAGAACAGTGGACTGCTCTTAAAGGCTGTTTACACCTTGTGTAGAACTCAGTCCCAGTCAGCATACAGCATGGACATGAGGGCCCCTGCTCAGCTCCTGGGGCTTCTGCTGCTCTGGCTCCCAGGTAAGAAAGGGCAGTACTGGGATTAACTCAGCTTTGTGCATCAGGGCTGACTGACACTTCAGGGAAGTCCTCTTTTAACATGATTATCAAGGTAGATATTTGTGTTTATGTTTCCACTGCCAGGTGCCAAATGTGACATCCAGATGACCCAGACTCCATCCTCCCTGTCTGCATCTCCAGGAGACACAGTCACCATCAATTGCAGGGCCAGTCAGGGCATTAGCAGTTGGTTAGCCTGGTTTCAGCAGAAACCAGGGAAAGCTCCTAAGCGGCTGATATACAAAGCGTCTAATTTAGGATCAGGTGTCCCATCCAGGTTCAGTGGCAGTGGATCTGGGACAGATTACTCTCTTACTATCAGCAGCCTGCAGGCTGAAGATTTTGCCACTTATTACTGTATGCAGTATGATAAGTTTCCTCCCACAGTGATACAAGTCATAACATAAACCTCCCAAGGAAGCAGAAGTGAGAGGCTGGGCTGCCCCAGCTGCTCCTCCTGTGTCTCCACATGTTGGCAGGGTTTCTCAGATGCAACCAGATTCTGAAGATCATTTGAAGATGTTGGCCAAAGTAGCTTGGCAGAATTCTCTCTACTCTAACTCTCCGCAGCAGTATAAACATGCCAATGCCTCTCCTGATTCAATAAATGACACAACTCACAGCATGGGAGGAGTCTGTGAGAGCATTAATTGGGGTTCATTTGGAAAGTGGAGATATGCTAATTAATGTAAACAGAAATAAATTGTAAGAAATACATTAATTTAGTTTTTTGTCCTGAAAATATTTGTACAGATTTCATCAGCAAATAATGTGCTTTCTTCTTCAATTCTCAATTTAATTTTTTATTTCTTGTTTTATATAATTTGGAGGAGGAGATCCTGTATAACTTTGTAAGTGAGGAAGTGATAGTAACCTTTCAGCATTTAATATCACTGCTAAGAAACAATGTGAAAAATTTCACCACTGGGTATGATATTTGTCATAGATTTTTACATATGCTTTAAACCACTAAAATATTTTCCCATTAGTTCTGTCTTTCTTAGACATGAATAGCTTTTGAATTATCATGAATAGCTGTTGACTTTAAGAAATATTCTCAACTACTGTACTCATATTACCTAGTTTCTGATCTTGTTACTGTGGTGAATTATATGGCTCAACATAGATTATTTTAAAATCACATATATTAAAATGGCTTTCCATTTGTGTAATATATTTAACTTGCTCAAAAATGGAGTCTGAGAGAAGGAGGAGGAGGTAAGCATGGAGGAAGAAGTGGAGGAGAAGAATAAGATGAATTTCTCCTTTAATATGACAAATTTTGACAATGTGAGGAAGAGAAAAGACGAAGTTCTCTTCATCTATAGTCACAAAGATAGGGTACAAAGATAATTGTGGAATTGAAATGATACTAATAAAGTTTTATGAAGGTGAATAAAACAGATGGAAAGAAATGATGACCTGAGCCACCGACAAGATGCGAAGTGCTGCTCCAATTCCACATGGAGATGACCTTGGAGAAAGCATGGCTACCCAATACTCACAGTTTGGAGAAGCAGGAAAATAGAGCCTGGAATCCATGTAGACCAGGACAATGACCATGTTGATTTTCTACTGTGGAGTAGAAAACCTGAATCTAGAGAGATGAATGCTGATATCTGCAAGTAGATGAGATTATTCATTGTGGGGTCAGAGAAAAAGCCCACTTCTTCTGTTGGCCTTCTGTATTACTGAATTGCACATGTACATGCACACTGTTGTGGCCAATAAAATAATGCTTTTGGTTTTTTGTGTTTTTTTGGTTTTTAATTTTATTTTATTGTAAATATGCTGTACAGTTACTCCTTCCCTTGCTGATGTCCCACTATCCCTTCCTGCCTCACCTCCCACAAAGTTATGCTTTTTTTTTTTTTTACTAATTTTAGTAAAGAGGCAAGAATGGAGCAAAGAATTAAAAAGAGATTCAAGGAAAGAGAAAGGAAAGAAAAAAGAGAAAGGAAAGAAAGACAGAAAGAAAGAAAGACAGAAAGAAAGAAAGAAAGAAAGAAAGAAAGAAAGAAAGAAAGAAAGAAAGAAAGAAAGAAAGGAAGGAAGGAAGGAAGGAAGAAAGAAAGAAAGAAGGAAAGAGGATGGAAGGAAGGAAGGAAGGAGAGAGAGAGAGAAGTTAGTCATTAGCAACAAATTAGTGGGTCCTGTATAGCAGATGTCACAAATACAAGATTATCTCACCCTATCTAACTGGATCTTGAAGAAAATGTAGAGCACAACCCACTTGTGCCATTGTGGTCCACAATGCTCCAAGAACAAGATTTGTTGATACACAGCTATCCCATTTGGGGAAATGATATAATTTATCCTAATCTCAAACATAAATGTACAAGGCAAAACTCAAATGAGATGAGTGGAAAGTGTCTGTTTTTTCCACTTCCCATGGTACCCCTGTCTTGTCAGTTACAATGGAAAATGTTTAATTTTCCATGGAATAAATGGAAGTATACCTTTACTATATCTGAAAAATAAAGCATTTTCAGGGTTGAATGTTTTATCCCCATGTATTTGCAGTCTCCCATCACCCTCTTACTTCTGAAAGAGGAACTGTAACCTCAAAAACCATGAAGCAAAAAAGGACTTTGTTTTCATAACTGGTGTTTAGTCATCTTAACAGAAGCTAACAAGAATAGTGAATTAACCATGATAACTATTACCTTTTATTTTTCTTTCTGTTTCTATTTTTTTATTTTATTATCTGTCAGTAGTTGTATAAGGGAGTTTCAATTTAGTAGGTAAGTTTATCAGTACGTTTTGATCAATGTCACCCATTTCATAATTCTCCCTATCTCGCTCCACTCATCCTCTCAATTTACTGTTTCATTTTGATTCTTATTTTCCAATACATTTTTTCACAAATTTCTTTTATAGTTACATCTGCTTCCTGTGACTTGTGACACCTGATTCACACATCATCTTTATTCAAGCTATTACAATTTAGTGATCAGAATATTCCAGAATCCATCAGCATAACGAGCATGGAAAGGGGATAGGAGACTTCTCAGAGATTCATCCCACAGCAATTGATGACAGTCACCAAGAAATATATGGATAATTCTTCATGAAGACTCACTACCATCTCTTCGGTTTATGCTCCACTTGGCCCTTTGCCTTCTGCATTGAAAAAAAATTTACTAGTCCAAGAGTTAAGCAGTGTAGTCTCCAACTCAAGCCAACCTTCATGACATCTTGCAACTTCAACAAGGAAATTTGTTCCTTAATTCTGAACATCTTTCAGGACCACCACGGGGTAGGAAAAGAGTAGAAAGATTCATCACAGGGACACTGTGTACTAATTAAACAATTTGGGGACTCTGAAAAAGCTTACCGAATAAATTAACATTCCCATTTTAGTTTCCCTTGAAAAGAATATCCACGTTAAAATACATCTGACTACTCAGGGCTAGAAACCCCTGGATAACTGTGCTGAAAGAAGGCCAGAGCTCTCCACGTTTTAAACACAAAGCAAATATATTTATTTGCTGGCATATTAGAAGTGAGGTGCCAGAAGAAGAGAAAATCAAAGATGACTGCTGCATGTGCTTGAACCTGGGAAACCAGAAAATTTAGATTATTTCTGGGAAAGGGTAGACCAACAGAAAGCAAATTTGGAAAACAGATAGGAATCAGGACTTCAAAAGGAAACCATTCGAATTTTGTGATCTCTGACTGCAAATGTTCCTTAAGTGGCTGTGAATGTGAAATTCTGAAGGACAAAGGAGAAGTCAGAACTAGAGGTCCAAAGCTGGGACACAGAGCAATCCTTAGGCGACATTGTACATAAATGAAAGCCTGCTGGACCCTGGAGGGAGTCCACTATTTAGAAGTCAAAAGGACAGAGGACAGGAATTGAACTATAAGTCATGTTTCAGAACCAGCATGCTGTTTGAAAAACATCTTTTCAATTTTGAAATGTAACATCAATGTGATAAATGAAGAGAAATTTTTTCATAGTATCTCTAGAGTTAGCTCTAGAGGCTGAGAGTTGAAAATCAACAGTTTGGAGCTGGTCTTGGCAGACAAATCTAAAAATCTCTTATCTCCAAACAACCAAGGAAAAAGGTAGAAGTGGAGGCATGGCTCAGGTGTTAGAGTGCCAGTCCTGAACTGAAAAGCCAAGTGAGAGCTGAGCAATAAGATGTCTTCAGTTGAACACCAGCACAGGAGAGGGGTGTGGGGGTGGTGGGACGTTGAACCTTGCTGCCCCCTCAATGTCTAGGGATAATTATTGTTCATCCTTTTCCTCTTTCAAAAATGCCTTCAATATTTCATCTTCCACAACTCATTTAGTACAGTAACTTCAGAACTGCACTCAAAAACTCGAGTATAAAGTCTTTGAAGAACTTTTCCTACCATTTTTATATTTAAAGGCCACTCAGAGCTTTTGCCTAGCTCATTCACCTTGACTTCTAGTACAATTCCCAACATTCAAATCCACTCTCCCACACACCTCCTTCAACCTATAGTCACAGGCTATACCTGCTCTGTACATGGCAGCACCTCTGCTGTCTGGTACTCCAGGATTTTCGTTGAAAGTTTATCCCACAGCTGTCAACCTAGCCAGTAAGTAGACACAGTACCAGAAACACAGCCAAACAAAAGGCTCAGAATTAAATTAGAGTTCAAATACTGTAGAGCTACGGTACAAAACAGTCCCAATTGACATTTTGGCCTTGTTTTGTTTGTTTTGCTTGCTCCTTTACTTGTACTGGAACCCACTATATACCTTAGGGTGCCCTTGAACATGAGATCTTCATGAGTGCTGATATTAGAGTTTGAACTAGCCTCAACGCCCTTACTGACATATCCTCATGGACTAAATACAATCCTATAGTGTATGCAAAGAAAATGTCCAGCTCCAATGTGGCGCTGTGACTGTCCTATGTTGGACTTGTTGGAACTATTAATTTCCCATTTCTCCTCTTCAAGTCACAGAAACTGTGGTAAATTACTACATAAAACCAACACAGAGGCTTCTTATTGAGTTTTCCTGTAAGAACTGTCAATACAAAAGGATCTAAGAGACATGTATGTGCCTTTTCACTTTTTGTTGGGCACTGCAAGCTTTCTTGCCCAGAAGTCAGGGCACACAGATTCTCAGGGAGATGGAGGAAGTGCACAAGTCCAGGGCTGTGTGGGGTGCAATCAGCTGGACAGACTCTGAAAGATAGAAATTAAGGACTCTGGGGTATTATACTCCTTTTCTTGGCTCTAAGAGAAATAATCCAGTTTCTGACCTCTTTTAGCTCTGATATGCTGTCACATTCTTAGCTTTGTGCACACTTATCACATCATGACCCAGACTTCCACCATCATCTCCTTTCTCTGACATTCCTTACTCAACACGATAAGGAACCTTGGGATGACTTCAGCCTCACTCAGCCAATGCAAGCAATTCATC